GTTGCTCTTGGAAATGCAAATAGTACTCTGGTATCACAGCACACACTTCTCAGGGTCGCGCCGTCTCCTGGCACAGCTGCTTCAGACCCGTCGCCATCCTTAGCGTTTTGTCAGCTTCCCAGAAGGCAAATGCTATCTCCTTGCCATCGCCGCCGCCTCTCCCGCCGCTGCCTCCACTGACACTGAACAGCTGCGGTCTCATAAACTACTTATTTTTAGTTCAAAAGCATTTATAGCCATATTCAATGAATAATTATTGATTACTATGTGCTGGGCATTATGCTAGGTACTCAGGGTACTATGCTGAAGAAGACAGATACGGTGTCTATCTTCATTAGACTATTGTTTAGTGGGAAAGACAAACAATGAAAAAGTAAACAAAAGAGACAGTTATAAGTCGTGATAAGTAAAGGGAAAATAAGGGTGGCGGGAAGATATGTAGAAGAGAGGATCTGCTTTAAATTGGGTGGGCAGGCAAACTCTCTTCTAGGAAGTAATATTTAAGTTGAGATCAGAAGAATGAGAAGGTGCTCTCCATGAGAAGAGCAGGAGGAAGAGTGTCTCAGGTAGAGAGAATAGCTACTGCAAAGGCCCTGAAGTTGGGGATAACATGGCATTTTTGAGAAACAAAAAGTAGACCAGTGTGTGTTTAGTGTAGGGAGTGAGAAGGAGAATGATATTAAATGAGGCTGGGGAGGGGAGGTAAGTAGGACCCAGACCATGGATCTCCTTGTAGGATGAGCAAGGATTTTGGATTTTATACCAAGTGTGATAAAAAACTCGTGGAGGATTTTGGGCAAGGCAGTGGCATGATCTAATTGATATTTGTAGAAGATCACTTTGGCTGCTGTGTGTAGATGGTCAAAAATAGACTAGTAGGAAGCTGTTTCAGCAGTCCAGGAAATTGTTAACAGTGTTTTGGACTTGGGTGGTATTTGAGGACATACTGATAAATAAATGGACTTGAGGCTTATTTTGGAAGTATAAATCATAGGCCTTGCTAATTGATTTGATGTAGAGCATTGAAGGAATAAAAAAAAGAAAGAAAGAAAGACTCAACATTTTTCTTAGCAACTGAATAGCACCATTTAACTGAGATGAGATGGCGGGGGGCGTTGTTTTGGGGGGTAGAGACGGGTATAGAAATCAAGAGCTCAGATTTAGACATGCAAAGTTTGAGGAACCTTTGAGGCATCTAAGTGGAGATGGTTGTACTAGAGTTGTTTGTATTGTTGTCTAGGATTCTGTGATTACTAACTCTTGGCGTCACTTCATTAGATTACGGGGAAGTATTTAGAAAACATCTAAAAGAAAAATACCTGAAAATAGGAGTCAATAAATGTTATCACCATAGCAAGCATGTAGCATCACGACTGCTTCTTGTAAAAGAACATGGTATATCAGAAAAGGCCCCATGCGGAATTCCTCAACAAGATCATTTTATTGAGATGGAACATGTATTTGATCCTGATGAAGAGGGCTCCAGCTCATCTCGAACCGTGGTACTGCAGGGATGTGCTGGGGTTGGGAAAACAGCTGTGGTGTACAAGTTTATGTTTGACTGGGCAGCAGGCATGGTTACTCCAGGTAGGTTTGACTATCTCATCTATGTCAATTGCAGAGAAATAAACCATGTTGCTAACCTTAGTGCTGTTGACTTGATCACTAACACTTTTCAAGATACAAATGGACCAATCCTGGACATAATTCTCATATATCCAGGGAAACTTCTGTTCATTCTTGAAGGATTTCTTGAGCTTCAGTACCCCATGGGTGACCAAGAAGAGAATCTTAGTGCTAACCCCCAAGAGAGGAAGCCAGTAGAGACCCTCCTACGTAGTTTCGTGAGGAAAAAAACTGTTCCCTGAATCCTCCCTCCTGATAACCGCCTGGCCTACGGCCATGAAGAAGCTCCACTCTCTATTAAAACAGCCTATTCAGGCAGAGATCGTATGGTTTACATATGCTGAAAAGAGCATATTTCTTGAACCAGTTTTCAGGTGCTAACGCAGCAATTAAAGTCTTTTACGGTCTACGAGAAAATGAAGGCCTTGATATTATGTCTTCCCTTCCCATTGTCCCCTGGATGATATGCAGTGTTCTGCAGTCACAGGGAGATGATGACAGGACTTTTTTGAGGTCACTGCAGACCATGACTGATGTGTATCTGTTCTACTTTTCCAAGTGCCTCAAAACCCTTACAGGAACCTCAGTATGGAAGGGACAAAGTTGCCTGTGGGGCCTTTGCTCTTTGGCTGTGGAGGGACTGCAGAACCGTCAGGTTCTGTTTGCAGTCCGTGACCTCATGGGATAGGACTGTATGATACCAACTACACTTTCCTCAATCACTTTTTGAAAAAAGCTGAAGGAGGTGTCAATATCTATACTTTCCTTCACTTCAGTTTCCAAGAGTTCTTGACCGCTGTGTTCTATGCCCTGAAGAATGACAACAGCTGGATGTTTTCTGATCAAGTGGGGAAAACATGACAAGAAATATTCCAACAATATGGAAAAGGCTTTTCATCATTAATGATACAATTCTTATTTGGCCTTTTACATAAAGCAAAAGGAAAGTCTGTGGAAACTACTTTTGGAAGAAAAATCTCTCCAGGACTTCGAGAGGAGTTATTAAAGTGGACTGACAGAGAAATAAAGGATAAGACTTCTAGGTTACAGATTGAGCAGGTGGACTTGTTTCATTGTTTATATGAGATTCAGGAAGAAGAATATGCAAAAAGGATAATTGATGATTTACAGTCTATTATACTGCTTCAACCTACCTATACAAAAATGGACATTTTGGCTATGTCATTCTGTGTAAAAAGCAGTCAAAGTCATCTGTCAGTGTCTCTGAAATGTCAGCACCTACTTGGATTTGAGGAAGAGCAAGCCTCCACATTCATGCCACCAGCCTTGACACCTAATCAGTGACTATATTCATGTCTTTCCTTTAGTTTTCGGCCTTCACAGACAATGGGCGTACTTGTTTATTTCATGTGTTCAGGCACATGGTCATTTCTAGCATTGTCAGTAAATAAAAGTAATCATTCAGCTTTCCATATTTTATGTCAATTGATACAATAAGGATTTATTGATTATCTATCACGTATTGAACACTGGCTTAGGTAGCCACTGAGGGAAGGCTAACACTTTTGAGCACTTACCATGTACCTGGTACTGTACTAGCCACTGTCAGAGTGTGTGTGTGAGTGTGTGTGTGTGCATTAGTCTACATTGTCACTCTGTGAATGTGCTTTATAATTATGAAGTGTTATGAGCGTGTACAGTTCTCAAGATTGTCATTGAGGACTCTGCTATTTAGTGTAGATGACCATTCTACAAAAGGTTGTAAATCGAACATTGGATTGGTTTTCACTCTCCTGTACATAAACTTCATCACTGTGGCCTTAAATAGCTCCAAGTTAGTAAAGGGCAGAGCTCCTGCGTGTCTTGCTGTAAAGCTTTCCACCAGACCTTGCAACTTCACTGAGGGTTGAGAGCCGAAGTTCAAAGAGGCTTAGGTAAACCACTTTTATAATATGGACTCTGTATACTATAAAATACAGTTCTACTGACTTAGTGACTAAAGCAGCAAAGAAGACATACCTGTGTTATCTAGAAAATGCTGTAAGTCTGTTCTCAATATTTGGGTTAAGATGGACAATGCCTCTCTCTTAATTGCAGGGCCAGCTGAGGGGTAGGGGACCTTGAGAAGGAGAGGAGAGTGAGTACAAGGCTCTACTTGAGGAGTGAGATAACCCAAGTCTTATTTTAGAGTTGTATTTCCTCAGTGTGAAATAGCAAAGAGGTGGAAATGAGAATGGGGTATACATGCTTGAGGGAAGTGGGGACGTGCAGTAAGAGTTTGTGTTTGGAACTAAAGGGGGAAGGGATAGGAGAGGTTAAATGGACTCAGAATTATGAAGGACCTTGGCTACAAGGTCTTGATGAATTAATGACAGCTTCAATCCAGCTGTTTGTATATTATAAGGTAAAATAATGGACCCCTCCTAATACGTTTGAGAGATTTAAAACACTGATGGAAACAAAATGGGGCTTCTGGTTCTTTCTGGGTTTTCAGAAAATCAGCCTTAGATGGAGTTCTCACCCCTAACCTTTTATCAGAGGGCTTAAAATCTTGTCAGAAACTTAACCCAAAATATTCCTTTTCCAAGCGTGTTGGCTGAGTGAGAGTTTGCTATTGATTTTTCCTTGAGCAAATTACTTTTTGTGCCTTAATTTTCTTATCTGCAAAATGAGATAATACCTACTAAGGTTTTTGGAAGGGGTAAATTATTATTTAATTTATTTTTAACAAGGTGAGTGAAATTATTTATGGTTGAAATGTTTTTGCTCCATCTATTTTAAGAAGGGTCATTTTTTGTTTCATTTTTAAAATTGCTTTAAGATGTTTAGCTGCCTGTACAAAATTACTCAATGTGCAACTAGCAGCTTACTCTATTTCCAAGCTCTAGGTAGCCCAAGAATTATAAAATATTTTACAACTAAGAAGATTAAGTTAAAATTGTGTAATTTAATTGTTCTAATGTTAATAGTAAACATCATTTTCCTAATTATTTTACTATTACTGTAAAAATATTTTCCTCTTAAGTGTGTTTCTTACCTCTTTATTTGTTTTGGTTTATGGGAGGGGTAAATTAGTATTAGCATGATTACAGAAGCGAAAATAAGCCTTTTACTTAAAGTTCTCTTTTAAATTATTTTTTTCTCATCTCTTTTAGGTGCTTTCAGTTCCACAATTTGCCAATGTAATGTCTCGGCTACACTTGATCTGCCAAGCACTGCGCAATCCATACTGTAAAATCAAAGACCTGAGGTAAGTTGAACTTTGCTTTAAAATCTTAGGTATTTGCAGGTAAAGACTGGGTTGCTAGAAATTGCACTCCCAGCTGATTGGACCTACAAAGTATAACCAGTGCTCAGCTTCTTACATAGTGGAGCAGCAAATGAAAAGTTATGCTACAAGCCTAGAAGTGGAAGGAAGGATCTCTGCCCACCCCTCCTGCCTTTTCTCCTTTTATATATACTGCTCCTTCTGTAATGAATGGGTGGCAGATTGTAACACCTCATTTTTTGTGGTGTCCCCCATGAAGCACACCCCTTCCTTCCCTCCCAAAGTCCCATTGTCCTCCCCCTTAGTTTTTTTTACGTTGGGTCCTATCCTACTCCATGCAGTTTGATGATCCTTTTCTCTACCTCCATTCCCCACTTAACCCCCCCCCCCCCCTAATTCCCCCCCGGGCCCCAAAAAACCCCCCCCCCCCCCCCCCCCCCCCCCCCCCCCCCCCCCCCCC